GGCGGCCCGATCTTTCCTCTAGTGTGTGTGTGTGTGTGTGTGTGTGTGTGTGTGTGTGTGTGTGTGTGTGTGTGTGTGTAGTTATTTTGAAGATTGAAACCCACAATTCAGCATCCTAGAAAATTTTCAGCGCAATTTTTTTTTTTTTTTTCCAGAAATGAGTTCAGATTTGGCCCTCTGAAAATTATTTTTCGTTTGGTAATTAATCTTTCACATATGAGTATGACTGGTCAAATTGAAATACTGAAATACATGAACTGTTCTGGGCGCCCCAGTGATCCAGTGTTTAGTGCGTCAACCTCACAGTGCAGAGGTCGTGGGTTCGATCCCGGCTCCGGCCTTCCTGTGTGGAGTTTGCATGTTCTCCCTGGGCCTGCGTGGGTTTTCTCCGGGTACTCCGGTTTCCTCCCACATTCCAAAAACATGCATGACAGGCTGAATGAACGCTCCAAATTGTCCCTAGGTCTGAGTATGAACGTGGATGGTTGTTTGTTTCTGTGCCCTGCGATTGGCTGGCAACCGGTTCAGGGTGTCCCCCGCCTACTGCCCGAAGATGGCTGGGATAGGCTCTAGCACCCCCCGCGACCCTTGTGAGGATGAAACGGATCAGAAAATGGATGGACGGATGAACTGTTCTACCATATTGTAATGTATGAAGTTGTACCTGTCAAGCTGGGTACCTGTGGTGTCAACCTTTCACATCAATCTCCCAGTAAATACCAACTCCCGCCAATTTGAAGCGGCATATTTTGTTCAAATGTCAAGCGCGTGACCACGTACAAGTCAGGCACGAGGCGTCTTTGGCACCCACAGTGGCAATGCGGCTTACTCATGTTGCCATCCTGGTGGGGAGCAACACCCCCCCCCCTCCTCCCTGCCTCCCTCCCTCCGTGAGGAATTTCTGTCGAGTACTGCGTGTGTAACGTAAATCCAAATAAAAAGTTCCCCAAAACAAAAAGATCCAACCCGTTTATAGCGAGCCGGCTTGGTAGCGTGCTAAAAATTAATGAGGGGCTTGCCACCTGTTTAAATACAAAACTCAAAATTACTTGAAGATGAACCTGACAAGTGTGGCCGCAAGCATTGTTACTCATGCTGAAGCAGTCTCACTGGACTCGAATGGGCTGCAGAACCGGTTGCCTACAAAGGGACGCCTTTGATTACGAGGCTGACTAAGTCGCTGATAAGACGGCAAAGTACACAGATGAATGAGCAGCATTCACCGACTACCGTGAACTCCTGACGACACATTTCTTCCCTTTTTTTTCTTTTCTTTTCTCCCTTCCAACAGTTTCGGTTTGACAGCTCGAGCATGTTCAAGCATGAGTCGTCTGTCATTGGGAGAGATTAACTCTAATCAAGCAGTACAAATATGTCACATGTCATTTTCTAAATTGTTTTTTTGGGGCCACAAGTCATGTTTTTTTTTTTTTTTTTTTTGGGGCTGTAACGCTATACTTTCAGTAAAAATAAACTCAAATCATTTCAATGGATTTAAACTTGGCTGTACTTTCCCCTTCAGTTTTTGACAATGTATAGAACAAAAATGACCCCAAAAAAATCTAATCAGGTCTTTGAGACCTTAATCATTGTAAACTGCATATCGGATTGGTCATAACGCGGTTCAGGCCGTGTACACGTTAAACAAACATCTAACTTTGTTTGTTTTTTGCAAGACGAGAATGCAACGCACTGAAATAAATTGCTGTTTTGGTGACAAAAAAATACCGTAATTTCCGGACTATAAGCCGCGACTTTTGTCACACGCTTTCAACTCTGCGGCGTATTTCATGAAGCGGCTTATATAAAGACTTTTCTAACGGCTGCCTGTGTACCGTCTTTCTTTGTAAATATCTCATGTTACAATATGGGCACCTGCGGCTGATACACAGGTGCGGCTTATGTGTGTACAAAATATTTTTTTCCTTTAAAAATGTAGTGGTGCGGCTTATAATCAGGTGCGGTCTATAGTCCAGAAATTACGGTAATTGAAAGAAATTCCACATCATTGTTTTCTTTAAGCACGAAGCATTTCTGTTGGTCTCTCTTAATGTACTTGAGTTGCAATACCTTATGTTTACTTTGTAACAGCTGCAGCTGTTGTGAAAGCGCAATATAAATGAGGATGTATTGTATTGTATTATGTAAATTCCTAGGATATGCTCCAACTTAATTTATTTAGGTTGAATAAACTGAATTTATTCCGAGTCGTGTAATTTCTTTATATACCAGTCGGTGAGGAACAAGCAGAACATGCAAGCTCCACATAGGAAGGCCGGAGCCTGCATTTCAACCCTCAACCTCAGAGTCCTCTGTGAGGCATTTGAATCCAAGCAATATCGCCCCTGCAAAAGGCACATTTGTCAAGTTTTCCACCACTGTTCTCGTCCACACTTGTGATGACGTCTCAGCAGAGACGTGTGATTGCCTCGTCTCATTTCAACTTGAATGCGTCTGTTCAATGGAAATGTGACCAAATTTCATGCAAATTCCACTTGCGAAGTAATTGATTACCATTTACATGTTATTTCAGTAACAAGCAGCCAATATCCCTGTAAATGTGCAAAAATGAGGTAAAACTCTAAATTCAAAACTCATAATTTTGTAAAATTTTTTTTTTATTTATTATTTTATTTATTTTTTTTTTTTGCAGGACCGGGGTTGCTACACGAACCTCACAATTTTTGTAGCCCTAGATCAAAGTTACCAAGATAGAGCTCTGCTAAATCTCGGGAGGGGCTGCTACAGACTTTTTTTTTTTAAACTTGTGTACGACGACT